TGAGGAAGCTCATTCCTACCACTTGAAAGTTCGGAAAGTGGTATCCGATTCGAAGGTTGCTGTTACATTGGTCCAGAAGAACAAGAGGAAGAAACAGAAGGCTAGAAGAAAGTCAATGGAACCAACTTACAGCTCAGTTTCACAGCCATCCAGTTCCAATCCTCCTGCAACAGTTGCTCCACCTTCTCCCGGTGGATTGGCACAGAAAGGACCTTGGCGAATGTCAGTGGAGGACGAGTTCCAAGACCCTGAGGAGATGCTCCTTCGTTCCCGGAAAAGGCCATTGGAATCACAGGAGAGTAGCTGGAGCAGCAGCAAGAAGATCAAGTATGGGAGCAGTGTCATCACTTCTGCATTGCAGGAGCAAGAGAAGGAAATGCTGAAGAGTCTTGCGGTGGTTGAACCAGATCAACCGCCTTCACCGAAATGAATATCCTTTCTTGGAATTGTAGAGGTATCCATAGTGCCTCTACTCAGCATTATGTAGGTAGGTTATATAAAAATTATAAGTCTAAAATTCTATTCTTAATAGAGACTAAAGCAAGTAGTAGTTTTTTGGTAAAATGGCAACAGACCACGCCTTTTGGTCACTCTTTTGTAATAGATTCGGTAGGGTCTTCGGGTGGTCTTGCTTTGTTTTGGATGTCCGATGTAAAGCTAGATATTATGTTGCAGGAGCCGAATGTAATAGTAACCAGGATAAGCGAATCCTTAGGGCTTAGTTGGTTAGCAGTTTTCTTGTATGGCCTTCCTAGTAGGCAGGGCCGTGCAGAGTTTTGGTCAAACCTTAGCTCCAATCTAAGCTCTTTTCATTACCCTATTGTTTTATTAGGAGACTTTAATCAAGTAGTTTCACAGGAGGATAAATGTGGTGGTAGATTAGTTAGGGATCAAGACACGGGCCCAGTACGTCAGTTTCTGATGAGGAATAATTTGGAGGAACTTCAACATATGGGATATTGGTACACCTGGTCTAACAATAGATAATAGGGAGAGAGGATTTATGAAAGACTGGACCGTGCCTTTGTCAACAGACAATGGTTATCTATGTTCCCCTTGGCTTTTGTCAGGAATCTACCTATTATGGTTTCGGATCATGCTCCAATTGTGGTTCAGGTCAAGCACAAGCAGAAGAAAACCAGACCTCGTTTAAGGTTTGAACAATTCTGGACAAACACACTCACTTCCACAGATTTGGTTCACACTGCATGGAGAAATGATAATTTACAGATTACTAACATCCAGGAGAAATTGTCCTTTAAGCTAAAGTCTAGTCTTATAGGCCTGTCTAACTGGAGCAAAGATACCTTTGGTAACCTTGACAAGCTAGTAACAAGGTTACCGAATCAACTGGCCATATTACAATCTCATTGGAAGGAGCATACTGATGATGATACATCATTTAATCTCCTTTCACAGAAAAAAGAGGAATTAGAGCAAGCACTTCAGTATCAACGGGATTACTGGCATCAACGCTCCAAACTCGTCTGGCCAGTTCAAGGAGACAAGAACACAAAATACTTTCATAAATGGGCTTCCAAGAAGAAAGGTAATAACTGGATCACTAAACTGCAATCCAATGAAGGTCAGTGGTTATATGATTCAACACAGATTTCCCAAGTCCTTTTGCGGCACTTCCAGGATCTTTATGATGTGCAATTGTCGGGTTCTTCTGGATCCTCAGTACCATGAAGCCAAATAAACTCTGATCCCTTAAGCTCCCCGTTTTTTCTTCAATTTCTCAACCATATGCAGGAAGGTATCACTCTAGATCAAAGCACAGCTCTAGAAACATCATTCTCTGCCCAGGAAATTTGGAAGGCTCTTAAACAAATGTCATCTTGGAAATCACCAGGCCCAGATGGTATGCCGGCTGGATTCTACAAAACATATAAGCATATCATAGGCTCAGATTTGGAAACCTCCATTTTGGAAGCAGCTGAACGTCAACAATTCCCACATGAGCGGAACCAGACTAATATTGTTCCCATCCCCAAGATGCCTAATCCAGTCACTTCCGAGGATTTTAGACCAATAAGTCTCTGCAATGTGAAGTATAAGATTCTCTCGAAAATGATTGCTAACATACTTAAGCAGAATGGATTTGTTCCAGGGCGAAATATCAGTGAGAACATTTTACTTGCACATGAAGTCATACAATACATCAGGAAAAAGGAGGGTGATGTTGGTGTTGCAGCAGTCAAATTAGATATGAGCAAGGCCTATGATAGGGTATCATGGCCTTTTCTGAAAGCGGTACTAGTCAAGGTTGGCATCCCACAAAGACTCATAAGTCTAATCATGCACTGTGTCACCACGGTTACCTACTCCATCTAGTTCAATGGTGAACATTTGCCTTATTTTGCTCCCAACAGGGGTCTCAAACAGGGTTGTCCTTTGTCCCCTTACCTATTCATTTTATGCCAACAAGCTCTTTACTCGGCAATTAGGGCAGAGCTGCAAGTGTTTCCAGGGCTAGGCATCAAAATCTGCAAGCAGGCGCCACGGATTAGTCATCTCATGTATGCTGATGATAGCTTATTCTTCCTCGAGTGCAGGGACACTTCTATATAGGCACTGCCTGGATTACTTGAGGATTATGCTTCCTACTCAGGTCAAAACATCAACCATCACAAATCCTCCATTCTAGTGAGTCAGAATACATCATCTTCCATGAAAACTTTGGTGCACAACACTTTGAATATCCCAGAAAGTAATTTTCAGAGCAAATATCTCGGTTTGTCTCTAGATTTCAAACGGAAAAAAACAGACATCTTTAGAGAATTCACCGCTAGGCTCCAAAGGAAGTTTGCGGATTGGAAGACAAAGCTTCTTACTTTTGCTGGGAGGGTTACATTGGCAAAGGCTACTTTATCAGCTATGTTGGTATATCCGATGGGAGTTTTTAAACTTCCAGCCTCCACACTAAAGAAAGCTGATGGAATCATTGCTCGTTTTATATGGAAAGGTGATGATCAAGAGCAAGGCATTCATTGGAAATCCTGGAAGAAAATGGCCAAATCACAGTTCCATGGGAGTTTAGGCCTCAAAGCCACTGCCGAATTTAATCAAGCTCTCTTGGGTAAACATGCTTGGAAAATTTTGGCACAACCAACCTCCCTTTTATCCAGAATATACAGAGCGAAATACTGCACCGTGGAAAATTTTCCCCATCAGACTCCACCCACCAATGCCACTTGGGGATATAAGAGTGTTCTCTGGGGAGCAAAACTCCTTCAAAACAACATCAAATGGAAGGTTATAAGTGGTAGAGATATCCCGATTGCTAGCAACTAGATCCCGGAGTCACTAATCCTATACAGTGCAATTCCTTTTTGGCTCAACATTCCAATCTGATGGTCAGTGATCTTCTCAGACCAAATGGACAATGGAAAATGTCTCTCCTTCAGTCCTTTTTCCCAGACCAGTATATTCCCTATATAACTGGAATATATGTAGATCCTGCAAGGCATATGTAACCAGATGTACTCCTATGGCAAAAGACAGATTATGGTTCCTATACGGTCCAATCAGGGTATCATGAATCTTTAAATCAAGATTCTCCCGCCTTCCCTGCTCAAGCAACCCCACAGATTCCCTTACAAATTGAAAGCTTGGCTTGGAAGAAGTTGTGGAATGCCAAAGTGCAAGCCAAACATAAATTCCTTTTTTGGAAGGCAGCACTCAATGCCTTACCATCCAAACAAGAACTTGTGAGAAGAGGAATACATGTTGATACTTCCTGTCCAAGGTGCTTTACAAAATTGGAGGACAATCTTCATCTCTTTTTCAACTGTCCAATCTCTCAAGCAGTCTGGAGCTTTGCATACCCTAATTTCCAATCAATTTTAAATGGTTCCATGCCCTCCATACTGGATTGGTTTACTTCATGGATTCAAACTCAACCATCTACAGAAGACATCGACCTCTTCCTCTAATCTTCTGGCGTATCTGGTTAGACAGAAACGATAAAGTGTGGAGAAGTCAGACCAACGATCCTGTCACTTCATGGAGATTAATACAACAGGACCTTAAGCAGCACAAGGCTTTGCTGTCCAGACTAAGGTCACAGACGGCTTTGACTTTACCTCCCCTTCCTCCTAGAAGACCTACTGATCCACTGTCAGAACTTACTTTTGATGCATCCTTCAATCCCCATAACAAAAAGGCAGCAGGAGCCTGGCGAATTCTCTCTTCTACCGGGTTGCTGATGCAGATCAAGACAGTTTCTATAACATCACTGTCACATTTCCAAGCAGAAGCTACTACCTGCTTACAGGCGTTACAAGATGCCACATCTCTGGGCATTCAAAAGCTCCACATCTACACAGACTGTGAACTCTTGACCACCGATCAGGAAATCTCTAAATTTCCGAGTGAAGCTCAGGAGATAATTGCCAACATACGTACCCAAATGTCTGCTTTTCGGATTTGCTCAATGTTAAAGGTAAACCGGACGGTAGTTCAGGATTTACACAATTTAGCTTATGCAAAAATGAGATGTACTAGTTTAAGTAACCCTTAATTAATACATGTACCAATTCGAAAAAAAAAAAAAAAACAAAGTAAGATTTGTCGAAATGCTGTAATAGAGATAGATGGGTTGTAAAATGACAGTGTGGTTGTGATAAGATTAATACAATTAACCTTTCACTAAAAAAAATATGGACAAAAATTATTATATTACATAATCTGACACAAACTTTATCATGTTATGATGATAACATTCGGCTCATATATGATTATAATTTTCTGATTTCACGCAATACAGATATCACAATTCGTGACGCTGCACTTGTACTCTTGGTTATACTCACATAAAGTAGTCTGACTTCCCCCAAAAGATGGAGAAGTAGAAGATGAGTCATCTTCTAATATTCTCCTCTCTACTCTTATATCTTTATCTCTTTTACTTGGGTTACTATATTTTTATAATATAAAAATTTTCTCTTTTTTCTTTTTGAAAAAAAAAAATTAAAGGATAAGAGACTGGGGTTTAACGGATTAGGATTTTTGATAATTATTATTAAAAGGTTGAGGTTCGATTCTCATTAAAAACATCCAATTTAAAAGGAAAAAAAATGTTGTATCGGAGTATATAAGTACAATTTTCTGGTTACAAAGAAATGCTGCAGTATCATAAAGTTTGCTTGGTGTTCACTCTGCAAATTTCAAATTCTTCTGTACACCAAACTTGCGCTGTGCAAAGGTACCCTAGTGAACAGAATCTTCTCTGCAGTTCCGATATATTTGAAAATAATGCACAAAATCTAAAGGAACCCGTATAATCATGACTTCCCGCGTACCTTTCTTAGTGTACCATTCCATGTGATACAACTGTCTTTCCCACAATATGGCAATACTTCAAATAAGAAATTTTCGCTTACTCGCTTTCATGAGGTCCACTAAAGATGGGAGAGGCTGTGGTACTGAGACATTCATGGACCTGTAGAAGGTTCTTAAGCTGTCATTATAGCTCTTGTTTGGTGATCTAACGGAGGAATCATAAGTTGGTTTCCCTCTCTCTCTGGACTTGTAGAATTCAGTTTCCTGTTTTACCACTTCCTCCTCAGATGTCTTCATGCATTCCCCTTCAATAGTTTCCACTACAGACGATGAAGCAACTTTAAGTTCTTTCTGTAAAGAATTAGCGTCTTCTTTCAACAGTAATTTTTTCTCAAGGTCATGAGCAGAACCTTGAGTATGAATTCGTGCTTTCCCAAATAATGTGATGGAAGATTTTCTGCTTGTTGGTGACAGTTCGAAGAACTTTACCTGTCTTGTTGATTGAGTGATTGACTGTGTCAAAGGTTTTAAATCATTTGCTACGGCTGTTTTTAAAGGAGACGACCTACAGGAACACTCCACTGATACTTTTGGAGCAGAAGCTTGCTCCGAATTAATGTCCATAAGTTTCCATAGAGAATTGTCTGAAGTGGCTCCACTTTTCAAGCAATGCTTCTTGACATAATCCAGCTTTATAGCCCTGCAACTAGGAGTTGTTGAAATGACCCACTTTGGCACAAGGAGCTGCAGTGCCCACTCCAGTTCTTCTCTGGATGAGTGTATCGAGTAACAGACATGCCAAATACTCGACGTGTCTCTAATAGCTTGGTCACATTTTCCTTTCCTTCGGTTTTCACCCTCAAAGAAACCGTTTTCACATGCATACCACTGTGCAGATGGACGAATAATGAGAGGATCCTGCAAAAAATTAGCACGAGCCTCGGCAATCTTAGCTTCTGCTCTTTCATTTAGTTGAGGGAATCCATCAAAAAGATGGAAACGAGAAGATGAATCTTGTGTAAGAATGTCTGGAACTATGAATTCCAGGGCCTGAAAATATTCAGGATTCTTAACTTTATCAACGTATATTTTAGATCCAAATGTTTTGGACACCTCTACGAGTATGTCTTCCTGGCCAAGAAGGTCACAAGTTAGGTAAACTCTGGGTGCATCGAGGTGTTTCCATATGCAATTTATAACCTGCTTCAAAAAAAGATAATGAAAATAAGAAAGTGTGCCAATCAATAATACAAGAGATTTTGGACTTGATGCAGCAGTTATTGTAAATATTAGCAAGGGAAGGGAACACAGAGAAGAGTTATATCCAAAAATACTAAATCATCGTCCATTTGAAGAGTTTTGCGGCTGTTGTTCTGGGCAACATAAAAATGAACGAAAATGAACATCTTTTTATTGAACATTATCAAATTTCCTAAAACAAAAAAAGCTTGCTAGCTATTTTTAAGCAATTTCTAAACATTTCAGCTGACCAACATCTATTTCAAAATTTATAATTTCCCTGTTTCAGAAACCAAAAATGGCTTCCTCAACTTCTGAAAGTCACTTAATTATCAGTGTTGTCTCCCAACAATTTCTATTTCTACATCGTTAAAACATCTGTTACAGTGCCGCTATTCACTATGACGACAAAATTTTCAATTCCTTTTCATTGCTTGTACTCTAATATTCATATAAACCATCAATTCTCTTAATTGCCAAAACTCGGGACAAAAGCACATCCACAATGAAAGAAGCCAACAAAGGCACTCTCAAGGTGACATGGACTCAACCTTATGGCAGTATGCTGCCAAAAGCTTCGTAAAGATGACCACATACTGCTACCAAATTTCCTTTCTGAGGTTTATAAAGCCATGCTGACTGAAGTTTTGTTCATTTTTCTGCCAAATCTGCCTTCAACAAGATCGAGAAACAGGTGGTCTTACCAACACCATTTAAAGTCCATTCAATAATAATTTCTTACTTTCAAACAAGTAAATCCATCCATACAAAACTGGTATAAACCAACCAGTTCATTTGTGTCAAAACTCGAAAGCACCTTTTATGTTCTCTTTTATAGCGATTTTATGAAGAATTCGAAACACCTCAATTATAATGTTCCCACATGTCCTACTTGTGACCGATAACTATAGAAAGAGGTATACATATTCTACTAGTTCAAACCAGCCATTTCCAGATATTCAAATACTAGTTCAACAATGCATCTTCACTCATGCTAAAGTTGTCCTTGTGATTGTATGGACTGTTCATAATTGGCAATTCCTGTTGAATTAAATACACCTTTAAATCAAACCCTTGGAAAATTCAATGTCCTTTTCAAGCTATACTTCATAGGTCAGCCTAGTCACTCTACAATACAAGACATCATATGTGTACTGAAGTGAACTTTTGGTGTCGAGCTATATTTTTGAAGTGGTCCGAACAGCAAAATTACATTACTGATCCCACAAAGAAGAATACTTCCACAACAAAAAACTCAGTAGAACGAACATTTTGCAGCCTGCAGTTGCAAGCTTAGTTTCATTTGTTTATTGATTAAACTTGATGTTGCTCTGTTGGCTGAACATTATTGCCAAAAAAAACTATCAATTCATGAGGAACTAAACCCAAATAGACCTCGTATAAGCCCAAAGTAAGAAACCAATTACATAATTCTATGTTGTACTATTTTAAATGTCTTTTTCCTTTTGTCTCCACACTGAAATTAAACTAACCTAGAGCTCTACCCTTAAGATATTACTACTTTCTCCATACTAAATATAAACAGGCTACTGATCAACTTTCATTAAGCTCTACATCTTCTTCTAAAAGTATCAAAGAACTCCATATTTTTCGTACTTTATTTTATGTCTATAGCATTGTCCAAGTTTTCTCAGTGTGTATGCCAGATCAAACTGGGATGCCCATTGGAAAATAAAAAGACAGAACACAGATAAGAGATGCCTGACTAGGAATGTTCAGAAATTTCTGAATACAATTGCAAAACCCGAACCATTAGGGCAACACTCAAGAAAAGACTCGGAGATTGTAAAGTTTGAACAGGGGATTAAGGTGCACAAGCAGAGAAAAACAGTTTAACACACCTGCTGGACAGCTAATTGCCTGCTGGGCATTCTCAAAGGAGACCTACCAAATGTGCAGTCCAAGAATATATAATCTAACTGACATTTGGGACTTTTCCCTTCCTTGCCTAGGTACTTCTCTGGTAAGCTTAGTAAACACGCGGGAGTAAGCCTGCAATCTCCTGTGTGTAGAATGCTTCCAAAACTGCCTTCAAAAAGAAACATCACAGCCCCTGAATTCAAATTAACATTTCAATCAGTGGTTACAATGAATTGGGCGAGAAAGAAATCAACCCCCAAGAACAAAACTTTTAAAGCAAAATGAAACAGAAATATCAAGCTTCTTAGTGACAGAGAAATAACAAACATTAAAAAGCAGAATACAGCAGAGTAACTCATGTATGGCTCCAATAAGTTAAACCAAGGAAAGTAAAATCAAATTGAATCAGAAACAGGAACAAAAACGACAAAAATAACCTAAAATTTCATTTAAATAACTCTAATACAACACAATATTTTGATGCATGATTCAGGTAAGGCACGAACTCACAGCTTCGGCTCACACATCCAACCACAACAAATGTGAGATGGAACCGAACACTTTATTGCCCTTGTCATGTAAAAGGAAAAAGTGCAGAAAGCCAGAAACTAGCAAACACAATTACCTAAGGAATTGGTACAGCTAAAGCATAAAACCTTGTAATTGCAGTTACAGAGCGGGGATGGAACTAATACAGCATGGGTTTAGAACACCAATGGAATTTGCACAAAGGCTAAAGACATTCAAAATATCCCATAGTGTCAATTCATCAATTTACTTTATGTTCTCTCACCAATAATTCCAAGAGAAAACATAAAAGGACCAACAAAGGGAAGGACAACAAAACATAGAAAACAAAACAGAACAGAAAAGGTTTAGCTCAATAAGAAGGAAGAGGCTGCATTAGCAAAGCATTACCCTTAGCTTGTAACACTGCACTTTTAGATCAAGAAATAAGGGCCTCAATCATGTATGCACTAGCCATGATCAATAAGTTTCCTACATAGTCCAATGTACATCCCACCACCATATTGCCTTAGTTTTTACCCCTCTCATGTTCTCATTATCCACCAAAACTAATAATTGAACATTTTCTCTAGCCTCTCAAACAAAGTTCTCATGCATTCATGCATTCTCATCATCTTTCTATCTCTTCTCTGCTCTCCCGTGATTTGTTGAAACTGATGATGCCCACTTAAAATTTAGTGGCACATACTAAAGACACTCCAAATATATGAAGCAAGCATTTAACAAAATTATAATGACCTCTCAGCTTTCTCAAAGTATTAGCTGGTTACCTTACTAGTTGAAATGTAGCTAAAACATGAAATCAAAAGGACTCATCTTTAAACTCAAAGAACAACAAACAAAATAAATTAGAGTCCAGATCTCATTGCTTTGTCTTACATGCAATTGGTTGTCTACCTTACCAGAGATGATAATAAAGTTTTTTAATTGATTAGGGCTCATTGCTTAGGCAAGAATTTGTGCGTCAAGACTTAGAAGTACAATGCTAGTCAGGATATATAAACAAATTCAAAAATTAGATTAGGTTCTAATCAGTTTGTGCTTATGTTTTAATGTTAAATAGAATTGGAGATGTTCCTCTATGCTTTTTATACTTGTGATCATGCAAATTTGTTGCATAGCTAAAATCATTCATGTTTCATAAAATATTTGCGAAGAAGGAACTACGTGATGTACTAAATGGAATGACAGGACTACATGGAACCACCAGTCAAATTTTGGTACAACTAACTCGTGTCCTTACCAACTCCTATGATTCTGCCCTTTAAAAAAAAAAAAAAAAAAGAAAACAAAACAGAGCTACATTCTTCTTTTTGTTTCAACCACAGATATTCCCACATGACAGTTCAATTCACTCTGAATCACTGATCCTCTCTGCCCCTACTACTTCTGCACTAAACTTCGCCATCTTTGACAAAACGTAGACGAAATCTTGTCATGAAAAGCCTTAATGACACCTCATATGGCATCAAAGAAACTCTTTAAAAAAAAAAAAAGTAATACAGATGAAAGGGAGGTTCTCTTTGTTCAAAATGTAACTCAGTCACACGATAACCAATTCCTGGTTCAAAATGCCCATCTCATCCGAAAATGAGCACTTACGTATCCAAATTCTATTTGCAGTTAATACTACTGACTAATTTTGAAAACCAACCCAGATGGAAATGCATAACGTATCCAATACTAGGAATCCAATGCGCAAGTAAGAACTTAAGCTTCCCAGTGATTATAATAGTAAGAAAAGGATATGTACCAGAACCAATAATTTTTATTTATTTTTTAATCTTAAACCAAATCCAAAAGCAAAAATGGGAGGCAAACCAAAGCGCATTTCCAAATGGAACATTTATTCATTTCTTCATGAGGGAAAAAAGAGAAAAGGAAAACTGGCAAAATCAATATTTTAGAAAGCGAAAAAACCTTGCCTGGGCAATGATTTGCATCAAAAGCAGACACCACGAAATCCCCATACGGATCATTAATAACAAGGGTTTGCCCCACTTCGATTCCAATAAATAACCCTTCATCGAGCTGCCATAAAATTTTCCAAATTCAATCATAGAGAGTACAAAAAACAAAAATCCTAAAATGGAAAAGGAAAACAAAAACGTGAAAAAAAAGGTGTGAATACCTGTGGATAAGAGTTGAGAACAAGGGTTTTGGTGAGAATGGTGCAATAAATAGGAAAGGAAGCGTGTGAGAGAATTCCTTGAGAATGGTCTTTGTGGGCGTGAGTGAGGAAATGATGTCGTTTCTTCTTCGAATTAGGAGACCATGTATCCACTGAGAATGGAAGCCCTTTTGGCATTTCAATCGTCATCTTCTGAGGTTTTCAAAATCGATCGATCGATCGATTTCACACACACACACACAGAGACCAAGAAAGAAGCATTTGAATGAAATTAGGGATTCACTCATTCAGATTGTGTGAGTGTGAAGGAAAAAAGAAAGAGGAGGGAGTTTTTGAATGGGAGATTGTGGAAAAGAGGAAAAATGAAAAGGTGGGAAAATTGTCCGGGAAGTTTGGGCCTTTGGGGGGAGTCCGTGTTTGGATGCATTTGCTCATTTTTGTAGACGGTTACCGACATAAATTCGCTTAATGTACATTTTTCTACCCATATGACGTAGTAGTATAGGAAAAATTATTTTATACAGCAAAGTGTATCCTTTTTTAGTACAGCAACACACCCATTATACTGGAAAATATCGTGGCCCCGTAATTTTCCCAGTAAAATTACAATCTTACACTATTCATGTGTCTAACTGCACAAGAAGATTTTCTCGTAGTATTGACCCATTCTTTTTACTAGTACTATCAATGGGTATCAATGTCACCTGATGTTCTTACACCTTTTGAATTAGTCAGAATTAGCAAATGTAATTGCTTGAAACTCCAAGAATTTCACCGATTTACTAGCAAAAAAAAAAAAAAAGAGATTTGCGAGTATAAAAATAATCCGTCCAAGTCCAACCTCGAGACATCAATCCATGGATAATCCGCGCAGAATTTGGATTAGCTTTTTTAAGTGGAAAAAAAAAAAAAAATTGCTGCTGCAAAAATGGCCATAGATCAATGAATTCTCGTATTTCCATCTCCAAAAGAGAATGTCATATATATTGTTCATGCTAGAATTTCAACCTGAATGCAATTTCCTACAACTATAGAAACCTAATATGAGGAATATACAGCTGAGATACAACACTTGAAATCAGTTTTTTATTTACAGTATCGAACGGAACAACAGACTGTTGGGAGGAACATCACTCTGCAGATGAAGTCTCCTAGCATCCATTGTACAAAATCTTCTATCTTTGATAGAGATACAAACTCCCAAAATTACAACTCTCATTCCGACAAACCCGCCCTCTCCTTTTCACTCCCTGGAGAGCAAATCTTGAACAGCACTTCTGTGCATTAGCCAGTTAGGACAATAAAAAACTTAGTTGCAGGTCGTTCTACAAAATGGGCCTAGTCCTTGGGGATCGACCAGATGAAGGACCACGTAATTGCATTTGAGGGGGTTCATTCCACGGTTCAAGGATGTTTCGCGTGTAAGACCTGGTTGGGAAGGGTGAGTACTCATTTGAAGTGTATGAACTCTGGCCGCCAAAACCCATCGATGGATGTTGAGGAGAAAGAAAGTAGCTCCTGCTTGATGCCCCGTGTTGTCTTAGAGGACTTGAAGAAGGAGACACTGGCAATGATGTTATAGCTCTAGCATTCTCCCTACAGAAACAAGAATAGAGCAACTAATTCATACCCTGCTTCATTCATCAAGAAGGGAGTGAGTAATTTGTAGATATCGGAGTAATGCTTTCAGTACCTAGGGCTTGTCATGCCTCTTGAGACAGTGAGAACTTGTCTCGATGTAAATTCTCCTTCAGGACTAAGACTGCGCCGGCTTCCACGCAGATCAAGAGCAGTCTGCCAAAAAGGAAAATGATGGAAGGATAAGGCTAGAGATTATGTAGTCCATTCAAATCGGACAAAAACTAATATTACCGTAGTTCTTATTAAGGTAAATTATTCTTTTATTGAGGAGAAAAACAAACAAATTCAAGTCAGGCCAGCTTCTAATAGTTACCATTGTCCATATTCAACATAGACCATAAATAAAATAAAGCACAAAATTAAATGACAGTGATATGAACCAAAAAATATATTGTCTTAGACCCTAGCATTTTTTTACTTGTACAGTGACTAGGTAGATAGCACATTTATGGAAATTAGAAACATATTGGCTTTTACTTTACCATGGTTGATGTGCAGCAAAACGATTTTAAGGTTAAGAAGAAGGCGTACTGACGGGATAATACAAAAGGAAGCTATCTATCTCAATCAAACGGCAAACACCAAAAAGAAAAGAATGTAGCATCCTCTAAAAGAGCATACACTATATATAATGGTCTTCTTTTTTTTAAAAATAGCTATAAATCATGGTTAAAAAAAGGGGGATCAGATCATGACACTCCTACCCACAACACTAGTATGACTGGAACTGAAATCAATGTACTCGGTGACTCAACTAAGTATTTCCAAACAAGAAGCAAAGATCAACCATAGATCTCCAGAGCTAGAACCATCTAGGTTCAATCCATATATAAGAATGAAGTAGCCTATATGACATTATCCAATATATAAGAATTATTACCGGAGTACGACTTCCATCAAAGGCCTGTGGAAAGGCTTGCTTTGTCATATTTACACTACCAACTCTAGCAGCAGATTGATCTCTAACAAAAGGATGGTCTAATAACTGTGAAGCTGTGGGCCGAGCACTAGGTTCCCGCTGCAAACACAGCCTTATGAAACTTTTTGCATCACTAGAAAGATGATCAGGAATTTCTGGCATATCTTTGCTGTTCCCAATTTTAAATATTGCTGCCACCTGTGGAATACAGACAAAAGTAAAAACAATGGCCTACATAGTGTAACTTGATTGCATCAGAATGTATCAAAATAACTACAATGCCGTACCCCTTCATACTGGCTCCAAGGTGGTTTCGAAGTAGCCATTTCAAGAATAGTACATCCTAAACTCCATATATCCACTGCAAGGTTGTAACCATTTGTGTTCATGACAACCTGAAGTTCAGTTCCCAAAAATAGAGAGTTCAAATTTTGGAAAATATTTGCTGTCTATGTAAAGAGAAGACAGGCAGAGAAGGCACTTTAAATTAGCTAATGGTAAGAGTACAATTTTGCATGTGTCTGGAGGAAGAAGGGAAGAAGGGTTCAAGTGCAGGAAGTTACCTCAGGAGCCATCCAATAAGGACTTCCTTTGAAGGATAACATAGAAGATGCAGATGTTATCTGCTCAGAATGCAAACAAATGGATCCATTCAGAGATTGAGGAAATAAAAATCAGATTCTAACAAAAGAGTCCAATTTTCCCCTTTTCTAATTTCACCGTAACGCCCACTGTTGCAGCTAGTATTAAATAGTTGTTGAGCATCATACTTTCCCTTGTCTTTCAGGTCCATAATTGCAGCTTAAGCCGTTAACCAGTTTCAGTACATTGAATTCCATTAATCAAGAGAATTTGAAAGGAGAACAATTTGTTTCAATAACTCGCGTAACATATACCATGCTGTCTAACTTGAAAATCAAGTAAAACAGTATACATGATTAAAACATAAAGAATCAATGTAAAACAATTATAGAGATATATTCAGCTGTATGAAAGGATGCTAGATACATGCTCAAAATGAACAGCTGGATTCAATAACTGTTATTAATCTAGGCAATCACAGGCAAAATTGAAAATCAGAAAAATACTGTAAACACAATAACTCTTACATGCTTCGCCATGCCAAAATCTGCAAGTTTCACTTCACCGTTAGGATCCACTAATATATTAGCTCCTTTAATGTCCCTGCAAAAAAAGGATCCTCAGGAAATCCGATATTTCAAGCAAGCACTACACATAGACCACAATAACCAAGTATAGTGAGCATCACCTGTGAACTGTATTTCTTCCATGTAAGTAGGCAAGTCCCGAAAGAATTTGCCTGGCATAATTCTGAATAACGGGCTCCCGGAATGGTCCATATTCCTGAAGCAATTTGTGGATGGAACCCCCGGATACATATTCCAAGTAAACAGACAATGTTTCTTCGCCCTACACAAAGATAAGAGAAAAGTCAATCACATCCTACAGACAGTTGCAATTAGTGCACTGAAAAAATGGAAAAAGTAAGGGAAACTCCTGTGATTATATTTACTAATATAACAACTGCAACTATTACCCCTCAATCCTCGAAAAGATTATTCTTAAAAGTTAAAACAGTGAAGTAGTGAGGTAAAAAATTCCTACCAAGTCACTTCCTAAATATTGGACGATGTTTGGATGTGAAAGCTGACTCAGCAACATGATCTCCTGTTGACAGGATTAAACTCGTCAATTAAAAATAAAAATAACTAAAAAAGACTTATTACCTAAGAAACTAAAAATGCTAAATTTATAGTAACGAAGAGATCTAGAACAGGCAGGCTGAAAATATAATAGCATTCGAAGAAATCAGTAAAGAATGTTTTGTACCTGGTTCAATTGCTTGAGAGATTCTTTGGATGATTGATCATCGGAGAAAACACGCACTTCTTTTATTGCACACATTTGCCCATTCTCACTGTCAATAAGATAACAAATTATGTAAGAATTTACTTGGAAACCCCAAGGGATGCAATCCTAATGAAAATGACTATATGAGTAAGTTATAAAATTTCATTTTATATAATGTCCCTTTGGGGCTAATCCTTTCAAGCACTTCAGTAGTAACAAGTACAGTGCACACCCAATGAAACCTAATATCTAATCAAGACTGTTCCAAGGCATACCTATTAAATCCAACATAAACATGCCCAAAAGTGCCCCTTCCTAGGAGTTTTCCTTTTTTCCATTTAGAGGAGTTACTACTTGAGCAGTCTGACATTGCTGACGATCTTGGAGTTGGTAATGAAGGAGGACTGCTCGGAGAAGGAGGTAGTGGCAAGCGATGACATTCACTTTTACCATCATCTAATCTGGCACTAGGAGAATCCAGACTTAAACCAGCAAGACGTGGATGTAGAGGTGAACTTGTGGTAGTACCACTCCTCGATCGAGGGGTTGGACTTGGTAGGGGGCTCAATTTGGCATCCCCTTGTCCTCTGCAAGAAAGCATAAATGATTGGAGCCACTATACTCTTAGCACTAATTACATAGAGATTTTATTCCTCATACAAATGCTATTCATAGCTGATTTACATCCAAAACACATAAGGTACATCAGCAATTTAAAAGGGACATGGAATTGTTTGAGTTGTCCTCTAAATAAATGAAATGGTAGTATACCCCAGACAGATCAACTCCATCAACGTGGAAAAAATCAGTGTGAAACACAGAGACACCATGAGAAACTTCGAAAAGAATCCCCACAATATAACAGATTCAAAAGACAATCTTTTGATAATCTGAACAAGCGAAGTGAGGCAAGCCAAGCCCTCGATCAAAATTTCTGTCCAGCAACCCAAACCCTTCAAAATGACACCAGAAAACGGTCCAGAAATAAATCATTTAAAAAAAGAATAACCAGTAGGTCTAAGTTTTCAGAAATCTTTCAGTAACCCCAAGCCAAGAACTAATTTTCAAACATACTGGTAGATATTTCACTGTTCGTTTGAACAAGAAAAGATATTCAGCGCAGACTTCAAGGAAAACCAAAATGTCCCGAACTTTACACTTACAAAAATTCCTTTTGAACTTGACAATAGCAGCAAATTCTATCACTGGACAAACAAAAGATTGAATCCAAGGAAGGTGCGAAAAAAGAACTCAGCAACTTTGGGAATTATATGAAAAAGAAGTCATTTAATTCGGAAACCCCAGAAGATATGGGCAAACATAAAAGAGATTGCGTACCTGAAACCACCCAATTGACCATGATCAAGATTCGAGTGATCATCGGAAGAAGCAGATGAACTCATACTGGAACCAGAAACAGAAGCAGATCCTGCTCCAAGCCCGGCAACATGAATCTGGTCACTCGAAGGCCTTGGGAGTGGATAATTTCTATCCAAAGATGAAGATGAATCAAAACCCGAGAACCCAGATGAGGAAACGCCATACCCACTCGAATCCGGACTTTTCCGCGGAGAATTCCTGGAGAAAACTATACCAGAAACCTCGTCAAAGCTTTTGGGCCTAGAACTATCAATAGGGGTAACAGGAGTACCGCCGTTGTCCCTGTTCCTCGAGTCGCCCCTGCTTCTCTCGTTCTTAATCGATGGTGAACTCTTGGTGCTGTTACCACTGGAAGAATTCTGCAAATTGGGTAGTGGGTCTTTCGATTTCGTGGATTTTTTACCCCACCAACCAGGCATTTTTCGTGCAAAGAGAGAGATCGAAACTTTCTTCAGTCGTGAAATCCGGAAAAGGAAAAAAAAAATAAAAACGAAATTTAATGAATCAACAGTTAAAGTACAATTTATTTCTCATTCTAGTGAATCTAAAATTGGAGTTTTCTTTTTTGGGTTGTTTGTCGGGAGATGTACAATTACTGATGAAATGATGATGAAGAAGAGAAAAGTTGGAGAAGGGGAAGATTGAAAGTGAAATTTGGAGTGTGTGTGTTTTTGGAGGGGAGGTGGGGTTTGGGTTTGGGAGAAATCCAATGGCAAACACTACAGTGAGGAACAGCTCAGCTAGTTAGGGACGGCATGCGGTGGTTGGATGAGCTTCCGAACACCTGATGTGGCATTGCCTTACAAAACTTTTTTTTTCTTTTTGGTTTTCCCTTTTTTTCCCGTTCTTGTTCTTTTTTTCTTAAACTTGTTAGGAAATTGTTCGATAACGATTGATGTTCAAACAATTGAGTTTCATTCGATACACTTAAATTCTCTATTATATACTAAATTTTCGATAACAATTCATTTTCAAACAATTAAGTTTCATTCAATACACTATAATGGTATCTGGAGAATTTGGTTAAAGTATAAAATGAAAAAATGTTAAACTTATAGATCATTTTATCCTTGTTAGAAAAAAAAATTCTTTCATTAAAGCAAAATTTAGGGGTTTTTAGTTACTTGTTAGTTTAGAGCATTTTATCAATGATGATGTAATTTTTCGGTTGGGGCCGGTGTTTAATTTTTTTCTCACCTGGTTGGAGTAAGACTTTGTCGAGATTTTCATTCGTTTAGTGATGGTTTCGTTTTTGAACTACCTTCTTTATAGTAAAAATGAAAATTAAATATTTTCTTTTTCTTTTTGATAGAAATATGTGATGCAAATGAAACGAGATAAAGGATCTCATACATAATAGAACCATCTTTTACGATTTCTGTTGTGCATTGCTTTGGAAAAGAAAAAAAAAAAATGTACGTGTGAAGCAATAGTATAAAAGTAAAGTATTATGATACATGTACTATTTTAAAAAAGAAATTCTGAAATTTTAAAATTTCATAGTTCTGCATGAAAAAATTCCAGATCGTTTCTTTATGCGTGCATATTTACTAATAAATTATAATGTTTTAACTATATCATCTATTCTTATATGATTTCTTCTCAAATCGGCCGGCTAGAATCCTTGCATTTTTTTTATATTTCTTTTTCCTTCCTTATTTTGTTCTCTTATGAAAAAAAAATACTACATGAATTAATATAAGAGTGAATCTCAAAACAAGTAATCAACCTTTAATATATTTCCACTCTAAGTCATCAATTAAATTTATTTGTTATACAGGTTACCTTACTAAAGTTTTAATCCATTTCAGATTATTCTGTTAATTTTGACCTTTAAATAGTGACGGAAATCTATTTTTCACATGTTTTTGGGTTCAGGGGTATTTTTGTCATTTTTTTATTTTTTTTATTTTTTAATCTTTTAAATTTTTTTTTTACAATTCTTCTTCTTATATTTCCTTTGTATACACTGGTAGTATAATTCTAAATTTTAAAAATTTATTTTCTTTTTGTATTTTAACTTCAAGATTATAAAATTTTTTAAAAAAAATTTAAGAAATGAAGAAGAAAAATTCGAGTTAAAGTAGACATAAAAATTAATAATTTACCATTTTAAACAAAAAAGAAAAATTAAAATAATTAGCTAAGACAAGTTGTTTCTTCTAGGTTATTTAATTTTTTTCAACTCGATTGAATTATTTAATTATTAATTTAAACGTTTCTTATTCTTTTTTTTTATAATCTACAAGTTAATACACAAATGACAAATCACGTTTCTTATTCCTTTTTTTTATAATCTACAAGTTAATATACAAATTAATTTGTCATTTGTATATTAACTTGTAGATTATAAAAAAAAAACGGAATAAGAAACGTGAAAATTAATAATTAAATAATTCAATCGAGTTGAAAAAAATTAAATAACCTAGAAGAAAGAACTTGTCTTAGCTAATTCTTTTAATTTTTCTTTTTATTTAAAATGGTAAATTATTAATTTTCATGTTTACTTTAACTCGAATTTTTCTTCTTTATTTCTTAAATTTTTTTAAAAAAAATTTTATAATCTAGAAGTTAAAATACAAAAAGGAAATAAATTTTAAAAATTTAGAATTATACTACCAGTGTATACAAGTTACGGAGTATAAGAAGAAGAATTGTAAAAAAAAAAAATTAAAAGATTAAAAAAATAATAATAATAAAATGACAAAAAATACCCCTGAACCCAAAGACATGTGAAAAATGGATTTCCGTCACTATTTAACAGCTAAAATTAACAGAATAATCTGAAATGGATTAAAACTTTAGTAAGGTAACCTGTGTTACAAATAAATTTAATTGATGACCTAGAGTAGAAATATATTAAAGGTTGATAACTTGTTTTGAGGTTCACTCTTAATATAAATATGAAAGTTCTTCGTACCGAGTGACTAATAGTATTAACGCGTGATTTTTTCATGAATTCAATATTTTCTTTTTTTTATAAAAAATCCATCCCAATGGACCAATGTAAATGTGGGTAAAATGATTTTTGAAATCGGGATTTCACACAGAATCGTTTTGGCATCTCAGGATCCGATCGAATTCTGGATCGATGGGATTAGATCGGTGGGATCGTAACCATTTAAAGTATTATAATAATTCTGAAATTGCGAATTTCAATTTGTAGGTTTAATTCTTGTTTGATTTTATGGAGGAGAAGTAGATTAGTGCCCGCATAAGTATCATCAACTCAAAATTTCAATTTTTATATATGTTTCAATCATTTCCCCCTCTTTTTATACGAAATCAACAACTTGTACAAGTATCGACAAAATAAATATGATCGTTGAATCGTAGGATCCTACGATTCGGATTGGGATTTTGAAGGATTCCATAAGATTTCACTACAAAGAAGGATTTCATAAGATCCAGGATCGATTTCCTAATTCTTGATCGATGGATCGTAGAATTCTAAGATCCGAATCAGGATTTTGAAAATTATGGTAAACCCCCGTTACAAATCCTTAGTAGAAATTGAACCCGTGTCTATTACCAGGAAAGACAACATCCTAACCATTACACTGTATTAAGGAGTAATATCTTCAACAGTTGCAACCCACACAATTTTTCATCCAAATACTAATACCATGATGTTCGTTTAAAATTATCATTTTTTTTTTCTGAAACAATCATTTCTTACTTTATTTCATTAATTTGTAAGGTTTTTTTCTTGCATTGAGAATACATTGCTCACATTCAAATAATACGTACTACTCCATTCCAAAAAAATAGTCCACATTAAGTTTTCAAATTTGTACTAAAAACAGTACAAAACTCAAAAGTCAATGTGGACTATTTTTGTGGGACGGGAGGAGTATTTTACAAATACGATTGCTAATTTACTAAAAAAGAAAGGTTATATTAACTACTCCCTCTATTCTAAAATAACTATCGGCTAGTAATATTAATAATAATTAAAAAAGAGTCAACTCTTCACTATACATGTAAAGTAAAATGTCAATTGTCATGTCTACTCTTTTTCTTTCCTTTGTGTTTCTTTTGTCATGTCTGCTTTCCGGTTTTCTATCAATAATAGTCAATTTGTCATGTCTGCTAAATGCTAATGGCTGCGTTTAGGGTAAAAAACTACTTTCACTTATAAAATATATTTCAAATCGTCAAAATCATTATGCATTATGCATATATTAAACCCAATTAAGGTTGCATTGAATAATTGTTAATCAAACTTTTGAGCATAAAAAAAATCCAATGGAATCTAATTAAATCCCTTGTTTCTTTTTTTTTTTTTTTTTTAGTCTTCATGCATCGTTCGAATTTGTGTACAATTTGTTAGAATTACATGTTATTGTCATTGAAAACATGTAACTTATATACATCTTTTTCTCAAAATGTTTGTTTTATTTGTTGTACAAGAGAATATATTTTTGAGAGAAGTTGCTAATATTATTAATGGAGGTTGAAGTGAAAACCTTTTCACCTGCGTTTTAAGAAAATAAAAATAATTACATTAATAAGGTAAATTATTCCAAAATTGTACATCTAGACTATTATATATGTTACATTAACAACACGAGCCAATCCATCATCTCACACCAAAAATAGTTTGTTCCAGGACGTTGCCCATCAAATTATAATATGCATCATGCATTCATCTCGATCGAGTTTAAGTTAGTAAGTTGGCAAGCTCTCGATCGAGTCTAAGTCTATGAGACATCTCCCTCTGTCCTAAAATTATTATCCAATTTAAGATTTCACTTTTAGTACAATTTGAACTAAAAATAAAAATCTAAACTGGACAATAATTATGGGACGGGAGAGTACAAATTAATCATAAAGACATGTGGAGATAATATTATGGGCCATGAACGAAAAATAAAAATAAACAATTTCATTCATCATTAGACACGGCGGGACAACAATAACCTATTAAAAAAAGATCTCAATAAGTTAGTTTATAAGTAAAATCGTCATTTTCATCCTCTAATAACAACAAATTGATTTTTATCGAAGTTCGCGGCGTCATAACTCATTTTCATCTATACATGTAAACTGCAATGTATGTAATGTATACGTTTAGCCACAATTATGTGCTGCTTCCTTTCTTATAATTAAACTTGTAAATTGTAGTGAATCTTTACTGGAAAACCAGCATTCACATTGACAAAGAAGACATTCACATTGACAAAGTTTTAAACTAGCACCGAACTTTTCAGGTTTAACTTGTAAAGTGGTGAAGGTTGACTTGCTGTTCATGATTGCATCTTGACATTTATCTTTATTTTTTTAAATTCAATACCTTTTGAATTTAAGGGTGTTAGTTGGACTTGGATTTGGTGACTAAAGAAAATGGAGCATGGTGATTGAGATGTTTTTCAGATTTTTTCTTTTTTTTTTTTTTTTTTGATAAATGAGATGTTTTTCAGATTTGATATCACCAAATTGAACAAAAGAGAAAGGTCTTAAAAAGTCATTTACTGCCACTAACAAGACACGGTACTATTTATTTCGAAACTAATGTATTACTTTCCATTTCAAACACAGCATCTTTTTTGTAATTTTAACTATTTGATATTAGTATAAGTTTTAATATATACACGAAAAAAAAAAATTTCCATACAGAAACCCCAGAAAAAATGGATCGATGAAAGATGTGAGCAATGCGCACGTATTTTTGGTTTGTAGTGAAAATATAAATAATGGGCATTGTCACATACGTCGTGAAAAAAGCATCGTAGTATTCTTAAAATGGTTTAAAACTCATAAAAACAAAAAAAAGTTGGCATGAGTTTTTTTTTTTTTTTGGTGGTTATTTGTCCGTTAAAAAAAGGAATGGGAAAACCATAG